GTTCACTCCTCCTGTGATTTTTATGAAAACAGCTCCTGAATACCTGGCCTGAATATGAATGATAATTGAAAGATTATGTTCTGGTTGGTAATTTTATTAGGGTCATAACAACAGTGCAAAATGAGTCTGATGTCTTTTTTTTTGTATTTTTCCTCTGCTGAAGAAAATTAATTTTTTTAGCTCTCTCTCTTCAGAAGTTGGGCAGGAACAGTAGGAACAGTGTTTGCTCCTTCCACCAGTGCTACCTGACAACCAGGATGAGGAACAAGAGTGATGGAATTTGTTACAGATGATGCTTCATGTCTACATTCTATTTTGTGCATTACAATCTCTTGGCCATTGAAAAATCAACAACAAACCAAACCCCCACAAAAACTGACTGCAAATTGAAAAAACTTGCATATTTTGGAAGTGGACTGAATATTATCATAACAGACCCTGAAAGGACTAGGCTTTTATTTAAACTTCTGCAGAATGGGATCCCTCAAACCAATGTATAAGAGCAGAATTTCCTACAGATCTGCAAAATGGCCTTGCAGGAAAGAAAATACTACTAAGCAAAAGGAAGAAATGTGAATGACAAATTTTATCTATTCAATGTATCTTAAGACTATTCTTCTGGAAGAAAATTATTGAAATTTACTTTTTGAATTTTAGAAGTATTTCCAAGTTCTTCCAAGAATCTGAGCCCACCAAAATTACTCTGTCCCTTGCAGAAGTACCTACATTTGAAAGTTACTGTGATTAAGGTATTATTTGGAAAAAGCATGGATTTTCGGTATTTTCTACTGTCATATACTTTCTAGAAAGAGGATCTTGGTGACAAAAGTAGTAGTTTATATGACTACTCTAGTAGTAGTGTAGACCTCTAGTGTTTTCACTAAGTATGTAAAAAAATGCATTAACTGGTGCTAATTTTACTTGTATCTCTCTTCTTTCTTCCATGACAGACAACTATTCATCATTAAATAAATATATACAATGCATTAATTTTCTATTATGTTTCCTTCTGGTCTTTCCACCTAAAATTATACTGCTTATAGAAAAAATTAATTTAAAAACTTTTGAAAAAATCAAAGAATAGATTGAATCTCTGCTGATAACCAGATGTATATAACACATAACATTTTCAAAGACCATGTCAGTGAAACACTATTGCCTGCTAATCCAGAAATAAGCCCATTCTCTGCAGCTGGCAGTACATGAATCTGTTTTCAGGAGACTCCGAAAAAATCAGTTTTCTCTCTCTTTCTTCCTGTCTCTTCTGAATTTACCAATATGGGACATATTAAATAATGTTTGACAGAGAACAGAAATATTTTTACATGTTTGACAAAATTATTACTTGCTATGATGGAATTTTCTGCCTCTGCATGTGTTGAAGTTATATTGACTGCATGTTATTACATACAATTATAGTAAGAAACCAAAAATAATTAATTAAAAGAATTTGCTGTGCAACACAGTTACAAAATAATTATAGTCTCTATTCCCCATATAATATTATTACAGGCCTTAAAAGATGCTGCATTGGCTGTGCCTTACAAAATGAGATTTTAATTTTAAGGCTCAGACCAATGGCCAGTTACAATTCTGCATGCAGTATTAGCTGAAATTTATCAGGTGCTAAACTCTTAAATGCAGATAGCTATGATAAATCAGTTGCCAGTAAATATCTGGTGGTTAATAATTGGATAACCAATCTAATTATCTAGAGAGAATGGTGACTGTTTTGTTGAGGTGATAATTATGCAGCTTTACTATTAGGAAATTTCCAACTGTGGAGAGCTGATGTGGTTAATTAAAAGATGTTGGTATTTTAAATATATATTTATTTTAAAATATAATACATCCTTTGCACAAAGCAGGATGAACTTAATATGAGATCGCACTCAGTTGTTTTTGCGGTATCCATATATTTTTTATCAAAATTCTTGCCTTGTTTTTTTTTAAGTCTGAACCTTTCACAACTTTTCTGCATTAAGTTAATTTGATGCATTTTCAGTGGGGGATATTTACCAAAACTCTTGCCTCTGATATTAAAGTCTTCCAGGCACTTTGAGCATTTGCATGACTTCTTTTTTGTACTAAACCTACATGAGCATGAACATTATATAACATGAAAAGGAAAGAAAGTCCAGATACCTCTTGGTCTTGTTTATGTTGAATATGAACACAAACCCCAAAAAGTGTGGAAATAACATTTCTGGAGAGGAGTATCCTGTTCCCTTACAGGGTGTCACTTAGCATTCTGCACTAACAAATATCTCAGTCTTTGCTAAGGATTTTATCTTAATCACTAAGAGGCAAAGAAAGACAACACAAATATCAAATTCAATTTTGTATTTTAGTCCAAAATCACAATATTGCATTAAATTATTCTTATCTGAATAGACTCTATTTTTGATCAATTTTTACTCTTGAATGCTACATTAAAGGTGTTACTATGTCTTCAGTGCCAAATTACACCCCTGTCTTGCACGTGGAGTAAAGGGGAGTGGGTATTTCTTCTTTGCTATGCACTTTGCATATTGTTTTTACCAAGGGAATACATGAGGTGTTCTCTCCCTGCATTTGAGACATGAAGGACAACAGCAAGAGCTGGGATCTGCTTCTCTGGCTGCTTTCTGAGGGTGGGGAAAAAAATGCAACATTTTATCAACCAATTTTCCTTTGTGCGATCTCATTGCAGCCCTGCACATACACTCAGAGCTCAAAAACCTGTGGCAGTCTTGACATCACAGGTTGCCACACTCCATGTTCCCTTCCCCTGCCAAAACAATTAGCAATGGAAAAGCACCAAGAAGTCGTACACTTAGGCACAGCAAAATGAAAAAGCTTAATTAGGTCCTGCAGCAGCATAATGAGAATGTGGAAACAAATCTCTGTTACAGAAGATAGATGAATGGAAGGCTGGTGTGCAGGATCAAGCCATCTGGAGACAGCCAAAAGTAATTTGGATTGGTGTTTTGACAAACTCTGGCAGCAAGAGCTATTAAGGGCACCCATGTGTTTGTTTAATAGTGGTTGTCAGCATTTCTTCTGCAAACATTACTGTATTTTAAAAGCCTGGTGGTTGCAGCTGTCTGGGCTAAAACTTCAGATACAGATTCTCTCACAAGAACTCATTCTCTGTAAAAAAGAACTCCCCAGTTTGTGGGACTAGGAGGAACATCTCTTTTATGTGGTACCAAGGAGGTGGATGTTGGCTTGGGCTCCTCCTTTGAACACGGTGGTCTAACCCTCTGATGCCCTCCTTGGGGGTGGAGGAATACAGAAGTAAAAGGCAAAAGTAGCACACAGGGAATAATTTTAGGAGGTGTTATCTCTCTTCCTTATTATGAACTTGCATAAAAGAATTCGAGTACATTACAGGGAAACTTCTGAAAGGTTCTGGAAAAAAGCAAAGTCTATTTGCCTATATTAGAATTCCCAAGAGATATCAATTTTAGGGGCAAAGTTGTATACAATAACTATGTGGACATAATGTGGATTTACATAGTGGCCATCAATCTGCTCATATGGAAACAAACCCAAAGCCAAAATGCAATACCTCCTCCTAGGCAAATAAGCTAAAATTTCCAGCAGTGTTCTTAAGATCATGATAAGAAATAGGATTTATTATTTTGTGGCAAATAATATAACTGCTAACATTATATTTTTGTTTCCTGGATTTTTGTACTTAGAACTTTGCTTCTCAACCAAAATGTCATGCAAGTTCTTTTTTCAATCTTAAAGTTGATATTTTCAAATAATCATTTCATTATAAGAGTGGAGGCCCAAAAAAGCCAACTTAATAGGATAAGTTACAAATTGAAGTAATAAAAGTTATTAATAGAAGGGACTGAATTTGATAATAGATTTGGACATTTCAAAGCATTCAAAACAAGAGCAATGTACCCTCCACATCCTCTCCAGATATTTTCCAATAATTTTGATTTGGTAGAAAGTAGAAACAACAAACAAGTAATCCAAAATATGTTCAAACAAACCAGAGTTACTTTATGCTACAGAAACCAAGACATATATCAGTCCTGATGAGGCTAATTTGTTGAGTTCTTTTGATCATAAATTACATGCTTTACTTTGCACTTCAGAGTTAGTACAACAATTTGGAAGTTACTGGTGATTACATGGTAGAGCTAGCCCTTAAAGAGATATTTGTATGGGAGCTTTTGTCTTCAGTTTGTATTCTTGATAGCACACAGTATGGTGTGAACAAAAGAAGATGAGAGTAAAGACACACAAAAAAGACACTGCTGAAGGAAAACAGGGAGGGAGAATGTTAGGACACTTTGCAAAGTTTTAAAGAAAGAAGCTGAAAGAAAATCTGTGCATGAAAAGTGAAATTCAGACTCAGAAGTAAAATACAAATAATTACCACTAATACATATGTTAGTCTACATTTTATAGAAGAATGATATTTTTTTAGAATATGACAAATTTTTAAATAATTTTTAAAGTATGATGAGTTATCATTTTAATATATAGAACATATAACTATTTAAGTGACTATGAAGGCTATGGCTGAAATATGCAAATCAGTGCAGTGTTTTATAGTCAGGCTAAAATGTGATTTTTGTTCTATTTCATAAATTTGATTTTATTTCTGTTATTGAAGTACTGCAATTTTTTAAAGGGCATTATCAATTACTTTTTCATGGATTAGACAAGTAGTATAGATGATATTTAGAATAGTTTCTGAATAAAGTCAGTGAAAATAAATTAATAAACCAGCTACTTTTTAATGCAACATTTAACTCCTATATGTAGTTTAGTGTCAGTTTTGTTTAGTCAATAAAGGAAAAACATACTTAGCTTCTTTTGAGAAGGAAATGTCTGCTGACTTTACTGACTAAAAGCTGCATTTGATAAGCCTAAGTATAGTAAATAACCATAATGTTGAAATAGGATTCTTATGCTCAACGTAATCTCATAAATTGTATTGTATGGCTGTTAAATATATAAATATCCATGAAAATATACATATTCTCACTTACCCAACGGACAGGAAAGGCTCCTTTGATTCAAGTCTGTCAAGCAAATAAAAAAAAATTTAAATATAGGTATTTATTGTGTTTAAAAACAATTGTGCAATGAATTTAAAACAGACATTCTCAGTGTCAATTTTATTTAATGACACAATTTAGCATGAATAGAAGGGCTTGATTCATTTTAGTAAGCACTTTTAATATTCTGCTTTAATTCCTCTTAACTTGGAAAAAATCCCGTTTACCTGGTGGAACTTTGATCTAGAGATCAAGTATCTAAAAAGCTGCACATCTAGGCCCTTTGAATTTCACAGATTCAGATGACTTGTGTAGATATTTGAATGGAATGTCTAGAGTGAACAAAAAATACTTTGTTCTTTTTGTTGCCCCTTTTTTTTTTTTTTTTTTTTTTTTTTTTTTTTTTCCCTTTTTTTTTTTTTTTTTTTTTAATTGGTTTCCAGCATCCTATGCTCATATGACATGATAACTTCATCATTATGAGAACTTCTGTCCCATTTGCCAGAACTGGCCTTGTGCTAGATCTGGGTGTCACTGTTTTGGCAGATCCAGAATCATGCTCAGTTCTAAACCCAGTGGTTCAAAGTACTCTCCCACTCCCTGTGAGGAGATGCAGCACCTGCACACTTGCAGGAGCCTCCAGCCAGGACAGATACAAGAATCCTCATCTGTGTTATCAGGCAGTGTTCCTGCTCTGGTATCTGCAACTGGCTGCCCTTATTTTTTTAGTGTGCTCTGACTTCATAGAGTTTACTGATAGCAGCTGCTTGATAGGACCATTAGTATGTGATTTTAGGATCCTTTATAAACATGTTTAAAGCTAATTTGCAGCTGAGTAATTTTGAGTGGTTACGTGATGTACAAAAATGTTCTGTTGTGATGATTCCTGTGGAGCATAGTGTGTTAGGAAGAGCAGAAAATAAATACCCAGGTCATTAATATCACTTTGTAGCCTTTAATTAATATCTCTTTGTAGCCTCTTTGGAGCCTTCTAAAGCATATCATATGTGGAAGTGAACATTTAATTTATTAATCTGAAGCCAATTTAGGCCCACAATAAAATATTTTAAATATAATTAATTTTAAACAATTGCCATTAGTTGTAAACAAAAGTACTTTAAATAATAAATATTTTAGAGAAGAAGCTTCATGAAAGTCCTCTTCGTATAAAATCTGAGTACTGTTGCAGTCATTATTCATTCAGTAAAGGTTTCGTGCAAAAACTCACAAACCAATAGACCAGTTTAATTATTACCATCGTCTAAAATCCAAAACATTGAAAATGCAGTCCCTTTTCTGTTGTCCTAATAACTATAGCTCATCATTCCATTTCTTTCTGGGGTTGAAATCCATGTGGAACTAGGAGTATAGAAGAGGAAGCACTGATGGCTTTGCATATGCCTGGAAGCACAGTAAAAGCCCAAATCCGCATGTCCTTGAGGTCAGGGCAGTCCCAAGAAACTCTGAACTTGGCATTTTCTGTGCTCAGGCAGCGCTACCAGAGAGCAATAAAGTGACAGGGTCCTTCATGGCGGGTTTCACCCTTCAGGTTTAGTGTCATGTTTTGATTTCCTCTTTTTCTGCTTAGTGAAATGAATCAGTCAGGGGAAGCAATCAGTGTTTGGCTGGAGAGATTAACTATAAGCAGGTTGACCAAAGAATGAAAGCCCTAGAACTTAAATACTTCATAATACTGAAATTTTGTAATCAAGGGAGACCTAGCATTACCCTGATAGAGGAAATTCTGGTAGATTTTAGTTGAAGACAGAGTGTGTGATAGAAAAAATACTGTAATTAAAAATCTATTTGAAGTCCGTTCTCAAGCTGGAATTCAATTTGATTTAAATAGCACTGCCCTAGGTTTGACCTCTCTCTATATTTGACTAAATGGTTTTAGATAATTTGCTGAATTACTTTTAATTAGTTCAAGTGTTCCTCATAGTAAAAAGGAACACAATTATCTGTTTGCCTTTTATTTGGTAATTCAGTATATGACAAATTAATATAAAGGTTTAAAACTGCAATGTAGTATGAAATAACATCTTAAATAATCTTTACTGGTGACGCGTGTCAATATAAAACACTTCTTACCTTTCTTTTCAACCTAATATACACTGACTTTTCCAGAGTTTTGAGGAATTCTTGAAAAATTAAATATGACATAGCAAAAAGACTAATTCTGATAAGTTTTGAGAAGGGCTGTCATACACCTCCAGGAAAAATCTTAAAGCAGATGTCTTTGCAAAAACATATTTTTGTGTCCAAGAAATACTAAGCTAGACTGTAAACAAAGGGAATCATGTCTTAATTATGTAGGAGTGGTAGTGAATCAGGAGAGATTGAGATATTTTCTTTCTTTCCTGAAATGGTTTTCTCATCAGAAAAGATCAATCTGTCAGCATGCCAAGGCAATATATCAGTTTGAATGGGAGGGAAGGAGGCTAAGCAATAGCAGGACTGGTACATGGCAGACTGAGGTGGTGCTCCTCTGATTATCAGCTAAGATTTTCTGAGCTAAGATTTTTCTTAGCTACATGTGATAGATAAGTTTTGCAGGAGGAAAAATAATTTTTACACTATGTCATTTTTACAGTCACTGTAAACTGAACAGGTATAGGCAATTGATTACTACCCATTGATATGCTACAGTCCTGTCACACTGTGTTTAAAAAGAGGACCCTACAAATTTCCCATTTAGTGTTATTCCCCTTGCAACCTGTCTTGGATCCCAAAATAAGTTCTACTTTCTTGCAAAATTGTCCTATTAAGATTAGAGGCAAGAATTTTTCTGCATTTGAGGCCTGACCCAAGAAACATAAATCTATATAATTACTTGTTAAAGAATCCTCTCCTCTCCTTCCCAAAACTGTGTACAGGACAAAGTGAATAACATTTCTAACAACATCAATGTATTACACAAGCAAATGGATTTTAGCCAAGGATTCTCCAAGGCAATTAATTATGAATCAATATATTCTTCCTCTTGGTGATAATATAATTTCATCTTTAAAGCACTTAGTAGGAAAAACACATGGAATTTAATGAATTTATTAGTATTCTTATTTCGACCTGTTGAAAAAACAAAACCATCTGCCCTGAATCAGAGAAAGGGGTCAGGAACAAATATTTTTTCAGATGAGTCATCATTTTAGGTTACAACCTTCATATCAGAATTCCTGAGGAGGATTATCTGACTGTGTAGCTGACACAACACATTTTCTGTCTGACTATAAAATGAATAGTGACTGCAGTTTTCAAGGGGGTTGGGAACATTTTTATTCAAGCCAGATAGGAAAGTCAGGACAACTGTAAAGCATTTTGGACTTCAGTATAGTGTTAATGTGTATTTAGACTGACTGATATGGCTGACTTATTTACCTGTCAGGTATGTCTTTTTTGCACTGTGCAGATTTAAGAACCAAAGAATTAGCAGGAGCAAAGATTAAGCAGAAATATGTGTAGTGAAAGAATATTCAGATTTATGGTTTACCCTATCAATGCATTAAATTTTAAAATGACAAGAACAACCCAAGAGACCTTTCAGAAGAAACTTATGTTTCCATGCACAGTAATCAAACATGGATGCATTTTTCTCTGAATGTTGAGTTTGTGGTTTGAAGTTATTTAAAACCATCTTTCTTCAGAACTTTTTAAGCAGTGTTATATATTGTAATCTAATTTCTTTTTAAAGCATTTGCATTATAAATTTTGCTACCTCCCATTTTTTCCATTCAATTCAAGCAAACCTAATACAATGTCTTAATTTACAGAAGAAATATGATTTCATATAATTTCCTCTATCTATTTAGTCTGAAAGAACAGTTGCTGGTGTAAACTAGATAATCTTTCCTTTCTGCTTTCTGTGACTTAATTTCAATCCAAGGTCATTTTTCCTGGACAATGTCAGTAACTATTGTCAAATAGAATAGGGTAAGAAGCTCATTTTGTCTTCTGAAACTTCCATAAATATCTTTATAAATGTTGACAAGTTTTATCAAGAAACTGTCATATTCTGGAAAAAATAAATGGTAGAATTACTGTATAGAAGGTCTAACCCATCAGAAGCAGAGGGAATGAAAGATTAATTTACATGTTTATGTCAATTTTTACAATTGTTCCTAAAAACTTTAATAAGTTCTGTTCCCATCTGGTGGTTGACATTGCAATTGATAACTCAGATTAGAAAAACAACAACAACCAACTGTTGTTTTCATGAATATTGCATAATGTCACATACTATGTATTAGTTTTTCCACTACCTCAAGAAGTTGTATTTGACAGACCTAAGTGCTTCTGTTATTTATTGAATTATAAAGATTCTAGCACAAAAGCCAGGGGTGGAAACTAGCATACTGCGAGCTCAAACTCTCATTTCTCAGTGCAAATGTAGTTCTTTGATTCGGTAACTGACTTGGTGGATAAATTATAAGACAGATGATAGGTAAGACTTAGTCTCATTTTTAAAGCTCTTGATATTGCCTGTTATGAGAATCTCATAATAAATAAAATAAAATAAAATAAAATAAAATAAAATAAAATAAAATAAAATCCATCCTGAGCATGACCATGAACAAAGAATTATGCCAATGGGAAAGAGAGCCACGTTAAATAAGAGGAACACCCAGTGTTATGATTCATTTAACATTGGTGTGCATAAAATATTTTAACAAAAATGTTACTGCATGTAAAATAGGTACCAACATGCTGGTTTTAATCATCCAGTGGAGAGAGTTAAAATATGTTTTTTTTTTTTTTTATAAATTGAAGAATTAGTATGAATTCAGTGTGATGAAATTTAAAAAAACAAAGCAGACTGAGAATTTGAGAACAGGAAATATTTTGTACATATACGAAATGAAGGACAACTGTCTGGGTATTGCAAAAAAATCTTTTCAAAAGATGAAGAACTGAGTAACAAGAGAGTGCTAGTTATGGGGATGTATTAAAACATCTGTCCTCAGAGCTGACTGAGAAGTGTCCTTTAATCAGCACATGGTTCCTCTCTTCTAGTCTCAGATCATAGT